TAAAATAAAGAGGCAAATGTCTTTAAAGACACATTTTTCACAATCTTTTTGATATTATTTTTACAGGAAATATACTGTATGCTACTTAATTATCTGTGTGAATGCCAACAGCACTGGTGTATAGTTTTAAAACTTCACCAGGTGCTTTCAAAATAAACGAAAGAAAATAAGAAAGAAAATGAAAAATAAGAAGAAAATAAGCCCAAGTCAGGATACAGTTGAAGAAGCACGCTGAGGATTTTGTCCAACAGTGGAACACTGAATGATGATGAATGAAAGAAAATGAAGATTTGATGCTTTTTAAAAGACAAAATAAAACAGACAGTCGGTCCTATCTAAAATAAAACCAAGAATTCTTTTTTTTCATCCTATCCTGCTTCCCAATATCTCTCCCCTTCCTTCTTCTACCAATTACTCAATAGTTATCAAACTCACCCTCCATCAAAAACCCATATGAATTATTTGCCAACACTTGCACAAAGTGGTCGTTTCAAGGGCAGCGACGGCGATCAATACCTTATCTTCCACACTACTGATAACAAAGTGATGACAAACCAAACGTAGAATTAATGCCTGTCATTACGGATCACTTTATGATTTGTTATCTGCAATGAAAAATGGGTTCTCTGAAAACATAAACAATCAATCATATCCACTGTTTCGTTTCTGATTTCTTCAATTCATCTGCTATGATGATAACTCATTTTTGTACGTTTAAAAATATTAACTGGTATTTGCCTTTATTTAACTGGTATGTAATGTCCCATAATTTGTTCTACATTTTCATTATCTCACTTAATGAACAGACCATCCCTTTTCCTGGCTTTTCACAAGTACGCCGCATGATCATGGACAATCTCAGGCCTACCCAACTACCAGACTCGGCACCTAAGGATCCTGAATTAACCGGTATATCGGACCACACTACCGGTTTTCAAGGTGTGTGTCAGATCGCATTTCGGATTATCATACCCCAGAACAATTTTTGTAGGACGACTGCGGGCTCATCCTGTCGGTGTTCTGACTGATACTCCGAAATGCGATCTGATACACACCTTGAAAACAGGTAGTGTGGTCCGATATACTTGTTAATTCAGGATCCTTATGTGCCGAGTCTGGTAGTTGGGTAGGCCTGAACCTCGTATTCATTTCATTAGAAGATATAATGGCCACAAATTCTTGTACGAGGACCCTGAGTGTCAGGGCATTGTAAAGTTAGCTTGCTCACTATACCTTTACAGGTGTTAGCTTTACAGTGCTGGTGTTGGTGATGCTGGTTTTATATGAAATCAAAATTGAGCTGGCAACACCGAAATCTAGAACCTATAGGGTACTGTACTTGAATCTTGTATACAGACAAACTTTTTTTCTCGTATGGACTCACAAGATGCCAGGGCATGGACCTTGTAAGGTTCTAAGGCCCAAAATTTAGAGGAAATAACATCAGGTATGCTCAAATGAACTTTCACTTGAGGGACATCATTGTTTGTAAGGTTTAATTAAATAATGTGTTAAAAGAATCATGCAGCAGAAAATTAACTATGGGGCATTTTCAAACATGCAGGATACCAAAATTAAAGTTTCTAAGTTTTGATTCATCAAATTATATAATATGCTGACATAATAAAACAATAAATTTTTATACTGGATCTTACTCTGAAACAGGGATCATGACGTTCAGCTGAAGAAAAGTTTTTGTGATCTCCATTTCAACATAAGATCCTGCAAAAAGGGATACGTATTAGAATTTATTTTTTCACTATCTATTTAGACCAACTCCCCATCAGAAGTTATTTTGTGAAACATGCCCTTGGGGACCTAGTCTGGAAGAGAGGCCAATACTAATTTACCATCCCTTTGGAGAACAAATTGCAATCAAAATCGTTATTTCCTCAAGTTAGGACTAGACTCCCACCTTCTTGGTAAAAAAGTAAATTGTTTCTTAAGTGATTTTACTTCTTTACCTATGAGCGCATTCCCAGAGATTTAGATCGATCCAACTAGATCAACCTTACTCCCTAGGGGTTCACGCTAAATTGCTGTCAGCCGAGCGCGCACGGTAGTTAATTATCCCCTTTCACTGTTTCAGCTTTTAGTAGGCGGGACAGACATTTAAGCCGGCTAAGCTGACAGTAATCTAGTGAGACTCCCCACGTGGGAATAGGGTCTATGAAGCATGACATTTCAACCTTTCAATACAGACCCTTAATAACCTTGACGATTCCTGTTCCCTATAGCGCAGGGTTCAACAATTGTGCATGCACGAAAAGTGCTCTGTCTGAAATAAACAAACTAATGAAATTGACAAACCCTGCCAGTGTTTGATGTCTAGTTGATTTTATTTAATTTGCTTTCTGGTGAAGTTTTATTTGAATCTTAAGTAATAATAACTACAATCTCACATCACAGTGGGTCACCATATTTGATCCGTGGATCTGTTAGTTTACTGTTCTGAATGCGCTCTAACTCTCTAAAGAAATTACTTTTTTCTCACATTTACACTGGGGACAATAAAACCCTATTCCACTCTGAACAATATAGTTTATTATTATATTATTATTATTATTATCATTATTTATTTTATTTTTTATATGGTCAACCAAAATCAGGACTGTTCCTTCTTTTTTTATTTATTCATTGTATTCTGTTATTATTGTTGTTGTTATTATCATTATTATTATTTTGTAAACAGCAAATTATACAAAAATCAGCTTTGACCCTATTAATTTTCTTAAGCAGTATGTAGCAAAAGGGAATAAAATCCCCATTTTGTAGTAAGAGTCTGTAGTTTTCTATGTCAATACTTTTTCCACAATGTTTATCTGAAATGTTGACACTGGCAATATGAAATATTAATATAGATAAAAATGGTGGAGTGCAAGACAGCAAACAAAATTCTCAATCAGAGTTCAAGTCACCAGCAATGTCTAAATAAATTATTTCCCCAAGTAAATTCGTTCATTTGACATTAAATGGCTTGTATGCACTAGCTTATCAGTTCTCCTGAGAGTTTCTTTCCTGTGATTGCTCTGTTCGTGTTGTTTATGATAAGAAATATGCGTTCATTAAGGTTATTGTGTGTCTCTCATGGCAATCACTGGACATCAGTCTGTCCTGTGGACTTAAATAAATAAATAAATATAATGACAGTAAGATGTCCATTATATGACAATATTTAAATTAAAGGGATAACAACTGTTCGTGAGATATCCATATTTCACTACAAATACATAGCAATCAACTCACAGAAATATAATAATTCTATTTTACCACCAAAACAGCAGTTAACGCATTTATTCTGATGTTTGTGCTTACCATCACATCACATGACCTCTGGAGATGGCTACACTGTAATAATCTCTTTAGAGAATTCAACAAAAAACCAAACTTTTTAGAAAAAAAATAATTAAAAGAAAACAGGGACTAACTTTAAATGTGGGAATGAATTCATTAACCAATGGGAAGTATGTGCCCCTCTTACTTGTATAAGTCCTTGGTACAAAACATTTTCATTCTGTTAAGTATTTAACACTTAATTCTATATAATGTATCTTTTCCCATCCTTGGGCCTAATATCAAAACACATGCGCCACATTCAGAACAGTGGACATAACTAGTTCGAGGGTCAAATATGGCAACCCACTAAAATCTACTTATATCAAAGACAATGAATATAACCCCCATGGGGAAGTATTAAGGTGAGTTGGCCATATTTGACACTTGGACTAGTTACGTAGTCTACGGTTTCGAATGTGGCCATAAACTCCATACGTATATATCCTACATGATATGAACTGGTGTGCTGAAACTGCGATCACACCATCAGCAGCTAAGTGGACCAATTTAATTATTATTAATGTTGAGCACATGGGCATATGAGAGTAGTAATGATTCTTTTCAATGGGCAAAAATTATTGAATTTTCAGATACATAATTTTATAATCACAAAACCATATTTTTTATATAGCCTCTGTGGTACTTTTACTACAGAATAGATCTTCAAAATAGCCTTCTTTTTTAATTTTGTTTCTACCAGTCAATAGAAAAACTTCTATTTTAAGAAATTATGGCCTAAAAAAAAACAGTATTTTAAAATTCACAATTTTCCCCCACTGAAAAGATCAAGAAATTACAATATCTATCCATGGGGAAGAATATTCCTATAATGAATCAATCTTCATCTGCCTATAATGGATTGGGGACTGAGCCATCATAATCTCACTAAAACAAATCATTCCGAGTGGTGAAGGTATACGGCAGTATTTCCACACCAAACATATACACACATATTACAGAGATCAAAGGGAGTGAGAGAGAAAGAAAGAGGAAGGAGACAGTGAAAATAACAGCTAGCTCATTGTCACTTTTGTACATTTTCTTTTGGCATAATCTGACATGATACCCAAGTAGACCCTACCTAAGTAAAAATAAAAATGCACTCTAAGGACTTCCGACACTCATTCAGATAATTTTCAAAAGTATGCCTTTAGACTGGTATAGTCGATTCTGAATAGCCTAGCTACTTTTGCAATTGCAATCATGAGATGAAAATGACCATGTCCTCTTTGTGCTTACCAAAGCAGCAGTGAAAAAAACAAAAACTAGGATTTAGCTTTAAATAGACGGATTCTCGCGTTCATTTCGATCCTCCCGCCGCCTTTTCTCTACACGCATTTACGCATGCATGCACGCACGCACACACACACACACACACACACACATACACAAAAAAAAACACGATATGTCCTTAAACTACCTGGATAAAATTTCAAAGACCACTGTATATGCATCGTACAAACTCGAAAATAAAAATAAAAACGCCATACACTGAAGAAAAAACAGAACCAAACAGACGCACGTTCTATAACACGTTTACGCGTGAGTCTATCCATGCTTTGTAGAACCAATAACCAGTGTTGAAGTGAGTGAGCCACTTCCGTAAGACGATTTGACAAAGGTCGAAATATTGGAGCAGATTGCTTATTTCCTCTTGCACTTACCTTGCGTCTAAAGACTGATTAGCATCTGTAGAATTCAGAAATATAATTCTGCATTTAAGGTCGAGCCTGTTGGAGGTCGCGGCTTTTGACTGTACACGCCGTCTTGTTGCTGTCATTTGTGATGTTGTTGTCGATTTCACACATGCCGGTTCCCGGGCCCTGATTGATTCCGACTTCTGATTGGTTTGCTCTCAATTGCGCTCTTCCATCTCTTGGGTCGCCTCCCTTGAGAGCATCTAGCGACACGATCGCATGTACAGGCGCTATCTGTCGTCAGGTTGTTGCCATGGGGATCTATTATTATATACCTTGTCGTTGAGATTGTTCAGGTAAAATCCATATGATAGATTATATTGCTGCATTTTGATGGGAATAACACGTTTTCATTGTACACATGAACTTACATGACCAAAGGCTCAGCAGCGTTAGGGGAAAATAATTATGCTCGAACAATGCGATGACAGAAATCCTTAAACTTTAATTTTTTTAGAATAAATACTATATATTTATACAAAGGTATTTTCTATGTTTTCCAGTTAACCAAATAATAATCCTTATGAAACTGACAATTTCATGTTTCATTTTAAATAAAATTCTTAAACACGGTGTTGTTTGTAAATGAAATCTATTTTTATTTCTATGAAATTATTATAAACCTTCTCAACCAAATTCTCTCTCTCTCTCTCTCTCTCTCACACACACACACACACACACACACACACACACACACATTGTTCTTAGCCAACAGTGACCTATTCGTACGTGACTTGCTCTTGAGACTTCCTGCCACACATTATTGATTTTGACATCAGTTTTATCTTTGTTTTTAATTATGAAACTACTCTCGCTCAGGCGATTTTGATGAGCTTTGAGAGTGTCGTGTTTCTAGGGCACGTTAGTCTAGATTATTTATAGCACAGACGAATATATATGAGACGTGAAGTGTTAGTACACTCATTAGGTTGTCAGACACGGTGGCTCAATGATGAAAATGTAAACCAACTCACAGTAATAATAATAATAATAATAATAATAATAATAATAATAAAAGGGGTTTATTGTTGTCACTTTGCAATATATCTACAACATATGCTTATGTAAGAAGATGATGTTAAAATAAAATAACACATCAAATAGTTAAAATCTCTTAGAACAAACATTTAAAATGGATATATTATCAAAATTTAGAATAAATTATTTTTAAAACCTACAAGTTAAGAATTGACACAATTCACTGAAATACTTATGAGAAGTATAGTACAATGGTTAAGTCCTTTATGTAGGTAAACTTAATTATAACGATGTGGTCCCCGGTCCCTATTTCCTCGATAGGCCTTATGGGTATTTGTTAAACGATGATTCAATTCATGATAAAGTCATTTAATCTTATTAAAGGTAGGTCTATAGTCTACACGTTTGAAAATGACCCCCAGCCACATTTTCTGTGTCTACATTTTATGCAAAGCTGCTTTTCCTTTTCCTTTTCCTTGAAAAATAAAATAATGAAACCCCTCAAATAAAAGTACCTGGTGCCGATATTTCCTTCTGAAATTACAGGAAAGCATGGCGATCTAATTGACTGGTCATACATCTAGAACTATATTTTTTATTATAAATGATATAAAAAAATCAAATCCAAGTGCAGCAAAGATGTATCAAAATGTTTTCATGAGTCGGGTATATAAATATACTGTATACCTTCTAAATGTTTTTTTTATTCGTGAGTAGGACCTTTTATACCGTTCTTTTTATTGCCTATTTTGAATCACATTTCTTTGTCTAACCATCTGTTCCTTATTATATTTGTGATTGAATAATCCTTAACCCCAGGTTGATTAGAGATAAAGTTAGACAAAGAGAATAAAGGAATTATATTGACGGAATTACCCGCCAACAAAGCCACTCGTCAAACACCTGCCTGCACCTGAGGGTCAGCGCATAGCCTAACATTGTACTTGTTGTGATTGCTGTGTGTCTCACCTGCTGCAATGGTAGCGCCCGTGGGCATATAGTAGTACCTCGTTACGTCTCCATCTACGACTCTATGGATAAAAGGCATGCACAATAAATTAATTAATAACTTATTTTAAAATCTCTGGAAATTTCAGCAAGTTGCCTTGCCAAATCTGTTGATAAAATACGATCTATGGGCATATGATCACCCAAGGAGGATACATCTACCCGGTACATGTAGCCCCCCCCCCCCTCTGTGTGTGTGTGTGTGTGTGTGTGTGTGTGTGTGTGTGTGTTGTCCCTCTCTCCAAATTATTATTTGATCAAAAGATGATGCGGAACGAAGTAAAATATTAGCCGTGATACCCGGGAGGATGTGTAGAGGGACTTAGACTTTTACACTGGATGTTTTTAATTGAAAAATCCAGTGCTTTAAAACCTTACATTGAACCCCTACTCCTGGTCTATTACTAAGATCCCCAAGCTGACACGGTCTCTAACCTAGTCTACAAGCAGCACCTAACCTCAAATCTAAACTCTCTGGGAAACTAACGGGACTAGGAAACACCT